ATATTGCGTATATGCGTATATTAATAATAACTATCACTATAACTCGCGTTAAGGAATTTTTTCCCGCAATAAATTCCGTTGATAGAGGAGATTAAGAATTAAATTCGCCTGTGGAGAATTAATCCGAACCTAGTTTAAGACCGCGTTCGCGTGTTATAATATTAAGAAAGTACAATTCCGCCGCTACATGAGATATATTGCGTATATGCGTATACACACAACTATCACTTTTGCACCGCTATTTAAACGCACAAATTCCGATACAGGGAGATTAAGAATTAAATTTGCCTCTGTAAGAATTAATCCGAACCTTAGTTTAAGACCGCGTCTTCGCGTGTGTTATAATATTAAGAAAAGTACTATTCCTAGCGCTAATGAGTACTATTGCGTATATGCGTATACACACAACTATCACTATAACCTCGCGCTACGAATTTTGCCCAATAAATTCCTAATACAGGGAGATTAAGAATTGGAATTCCGGTTTCTGGGAGAATTAATCCGAACCTAGTTTAGACCGCGTTCGCGTGTTATAATGATACGTTACAATTCCAAGCGCCGTTTATATATATTGCGTATATGCGTATACACACAAATCACTATAACTCGTGTTACGAATTTTCTCGCAATAAATTCCTATACAGGAGATTAAGAATTAATTTCTGCTTCTGGGAGAATCAATCCGAACCTTAGTTTACCGCGTTCGCGTTATAATATTGGCAAAGTACAATTCCAAGCGCCATGAGTATATTGCGCATATGTACAACAAATCATCACTATAAACCGCGTTACGGAATTTTCTCGCAATAAATTCCCATACAGGAGATTAGCGAATTAATTTCCCTGCTCTGGAGAATCAATCCGAACCTAGTTTAAGATCGCGTTCGCGTAAGTTATAACATTAAGAAAGTATTACCCAAGCGCTACGAGCATATATTGCGTATATGCGCATACAATACGTCCATCACTATAACTCGCGTTACGGAATTTTCTCGCAATAAATTTACACAGGAGATTAAGAATTAATTTCGTTTTACAACCCAACCCAACCCATTTAGTTGACCGCGTCATGTGTTATACCATACAGCACAACCCCGCCATACAGTACGCAAGTATATGCGTATACACACAACTATCAATATAACTCGCGTTACGGAATTTTCTCGCAATAAATTCCGATACAGGAGATTAAGAATTAAATTCTGCTTCGGGGAGAATTAATCGAACCTAGTTTAAGACCGCATTCGCGTGTTAAGTAGCCACAAGCTAAGCATAATTCCAAGGCTACGAGTATATATTGCGTATGGGCGCGTATACACACAACTATCACTATAACCTCGCGTTACGGAATTTCCCGCAATAAATTCCGATAGAGGAGATTAAGAATTGTAAATTCTGCTTCTGGGAGAATTAATCCGAACCTATTTAAGACTGCCCGCGTGTTATAATATTAAGAAAGTACAATTCCAAGCGCTACGAGTATATATTGCGTATATGCAAGTATACACACAACTATCACTATATCCTCGCGTTACGGAATTTTTTCGCACAAAATTTATATTGGCTACAGGGAGATTAAGGAACTAAAATCGCCTCTGTATGGCTTCAACTAAACCTAGTTTAAGACTGCGTTCCGCATATAATATTAAGAGTACTATTCCTAGCGCCATGAAAGTAATTATTGCGTATATGTGCGTATACACACAACTATCACTATAACTCTCGCGTTACGGAATTTTGTCGCAAATAACCCAAATACAGGAGATTAAGAATTAAATTCCCGTTTCTGGGAGAATTAATCCGAACCTAGTTTAGACTGCGTTCGCGTTATAGTAATATTAAGAAAGTACAATTCCAAGCGCTACGAGTATATATTGCGTATATGCGTATGCCACACAACTATCACTATAACTCGCGTTACGGAATTCTTTTCTCGCAATAAATTCCCATACAGGAGATTAAGAATTAATTTGCCGGGAGAATCAAATAATCCGAACCTAGTTTAAGACCGCGTCTGCGTAAGTTATAATATTAAGAAAGTACAATTCCAAGCGCTACGAGTATATATTGCGTATATGCGTATACACACAACTATCACTATATAACTCGCGTTACGGAAATTTTCTCTACTATATTTCCATACAGGAAAGATTTCAAGAGTTAAATTCCCTGCTTCTGAGAGAATTAATCAAACTTAGTTTTAAGACTGGGCGTTCGCGTGTTATAATATTAAGAAAGTACCATTCTAGCGCTACGAGTACAATTGCGTATATGCGCATACACAATAACTATCACTATAATCCTCGCTACGGAATTTTGTCGCAATAAATTCCAATACAGGAGATTAAGAATTAAATTCTGCTTCTGGGAGAATTAATCCGAACTCAGTTTAAGATCATGTTCGCGTGTTATAATATTAAGAAAGTACAATTCCAAGCGCATGAGTATATATGCGTATATGCGTATACACACAACTATCACTATAACTTCGCGTTACGGAATTCAAATTTTGTCGCTAGCAAATTCCACACAGGGAGATTAAGAATTAAATTTCTGCTTCTTGGGAGAATTAATCCGAACCTAGTTTAAAGACTGCGTTCGCGTTATAATATTAAGAAAGTACTATTCCTAGCGCTAGGCTGAGTACAATTGCGTATATGTATACACACAACTATCACTATAATCATGTTACGGACTTTTGTCGCAATAAATTCCAATACAGGAGATTAAGAATTAAATTCCGCTTCTGGGAGAATTAATCCGAACTCTAGTTTAAGACCGCGTTCGCGTGTTATAATATTAAGAAAGTACTATTCCTAAGGCTGAGTACAATTGCGTATATGCGTATACACACAACTATCACCATAACTGCCATGGGAATTTTGTACGCCATAAAATCGTTTTCACAGGAGATTAAGAATTAAATTCTGCTTCTGGGAGAATTAATCCGAACCTAGTTTAAGATCGCGTTCGCGTGTTATAAATATTACAAGAAAGTACTATTCCTAAAGCGCTACGAAAGCATTATTGCGTATATGCGTATACAATAATAACTATCACTATAACTCATAAGCGCTGCAATTTCTACAAATTTTGGACTACAGGGAGGATTAAAGCAGAATTAAATTCCGCCTGAAAACTAAAAGAGTTAAGCAAAAATGGTTGTTTGTAAAGCAGGTTTACGATCGAGATGTTTACGTGATAACGTCTTACAGATATAAGTTTTGTTTGTTGTAAATTGTTGTAACACTTCACTCTTGCACTTCAAGCATTTGTTTTACCGTTAGGCTCCCCACTACAAACTTTTATCGGCCGATAAAAACGAGAGGGTATACTGCGATCGGCCCGTGAGGCCTCGCGACACAGTTTCTGAACAGTCACCCGACTAAAACGATTTTAAAGACGTTATCACGTCAATAAGAAAAGAAAACATTATATTCAATACGTAATATTATATTCAAACAGCAGAAAATAAACATTTATGCTGTTTACGTGAAAAGGTGCATCATTATCTGCAATCAAAACTAAAATATGATGCAGCAATAACAGGCGGCGTGAGGAGATGCGTAACGGGGCACACGACAATGCGATAAGAAAAGTGTGGAATTGTGTCTAAAACAATACAAATCTATTTTATGATTTTTTGAGTCATGCTAGGTCATCTATGAATGAAACAGTAGTTTCAAAATTTAGATTATTACAGCAAATTAAAATTCGATTTGTGTGTTCTATTCTCAGCCGACAATGACGCTATAAAACATTTAAGGATATCTGCCAGCGACCATTGATAATAAAAAATGTTTTTGCTTTCTTTATGATTTTATAATAAATTACGAATTAATATAAAATTGTTAATTTATTCATGAAAGAATTGAAGAATTATTTACTATACTAACATAACAAACAGCAACGATGTGTTTTGATTCCACGAAATAAAGATTCGCTGATACCTGCGAGGTAAACAAACTTATCTCTTTGCGCGAAATCGCGATTGCAATAATGACACGATGCACTCACTACCACCGACAAGCAATATTTAACGCGAAAACGTGCATCGTTGTGCCATCTAACCGACTATCTAGTAATGGCAGGTTTAAATTTAAAACACATTTTATCAAATATGCAACAAAGTTGATATTGCATGAAAATGCCAGGCATAAGCAATTTAATAATGCCTATCAAATCGCAATATTTCTTTAATATATATTCTATGACACAACATAATAATATAATATTCACACAAACATTCTGTGCGGAATATCGAAATGGTGAGATAAAAATTACTTACTCAAGCACGAAGGGACCTCCAATCCAATCCAATTGATCTAGCGACCGCCAACGTTACACAATAACCGACAATAAAACCGCAGCATTCTTGTAATTTGAAATATAAACATCAAAAGCGAGCAAAAAATCATTTACGGAATTAAACGCACTATTAATCATTCACAAAACACAGCAGATGCATGTTACACGTCGATTGATGACCGAATACAATGCAAATGTAGAAAATAGAAGTCCGATAAAACAATACGAGTCGCGCGAAATTCGTCTTCGGATTAAATAAATATCCAGGGCACCGAACAAATTGTACAAGTGCAAGTATCACAAACACCACGAATATACACCTCTACGAGGAAGTCTAAACGATGTTTGCCGTCCGACGGCAACTCAAGAACACCCGCAGAAAACTATACAACGCACGAAATTAACAGTCACAACATTCCACACGCGACAATTAATTAGAAAACACCAAACACGTCTTTTAATCAAAATATTCGCGATAATCAAACAATTAAAATACGTTTTACTGCATCTACCGTCGCACAGCGGACCGGCCGTCCCGCGTGCACAGCCCGGCGAAATATACTAGAGAACATGTCTCAACATGAAATAAAATTTATCAAAGATACCTGCCGTTATCGCAGGTGCACCGAGTTTGTAAACAACTCGACTTGTTCGTGTTAAAAAGTACATCGTTGCGCCATCTAAGAATACTATATGGTAAATTCTTTATAAACCAAATTCAAAACTGTACAACAATAATTCAATACAAGGTCAAACTTTAAATCAACGCAAATAATATTCAAACCGCTACATGTGAATAACCGCAACTCTCATCATCATACAAACACCCATCAGGATGGTTTTTCTTAAACCAACAAGGTTTGTCCACATATTTTTCCGTCTCTGATCTTAAATAAGGTGGTCTAAGTTTTACCCTGCCCTTATCAACATTAAAAATATACCTGTGATTGCGCATCAATGTCTGTAATCCGCCACATTCGTTTTTCAATCGCTTCAATTCATACTGCTCCAAAGCATTTACCATTGTTCTAATCTCTAAGCAACTACCCGCATTCCATTGCTGTTCGTTTTCTTTATGCAATAACAAATTATCATCGGGATTTATCGTCAATAAAATAGAAACTAATTTGTGGATCGTTTCAGTGAGGAAATTCCGATCAAGTTTCGTACAATTACGAACCTTTTCTTCACTTTCACGCAATTTTAAATTTTCAAGGGGTTTACTCCTATCAGTTAATAATTTAGTAATATTCGTATTTATCTGCTCATTTGAAATAGTCCTTGGTCCGCTACCTATTAAACAAGTGCGTTTCGTCGATGGAATACGCAACTTATCAACTTTCGTTACAAAACCGCACGCGTTACAAACATCTTCAATATATAGCAAATATTCAGAGTATTGGCTCACTCCAGTGTTTTTTCTTCGGTATTTAGTCCCATCAAAGTTAAAACAACAGCATGGTAATAAAAAGAAGTTGGTTTTTGGTGAACTGCGCGCGGCGATTACAGGAATCCACGGTGTTAATTCATCAGAATGGTTGCCAATGATCCAGTCGACATCCGGGAAAAGATTTTCATCCGATGGAACGATTGTTTTAATCTAAATAAACAAATTATTATTAAAATTAAATATAACTTGTATTGTTACAGCAAGAATAAAACAATTTTTACTTGTAATTTAGTTGTTTCTGGATACAAATCCCAAATTTTCGCTTGCGGACATCAATTCCTTCTCCTGGATATCCTTCTTCACTCAGAATATACACTAACAAACCATTTCCACAACCCAAGTCAAGAAAAGACGGCTTTTACTGCTTGATCCTTCAGAATTCCATAAACAAATAAGGTAAGATGCGATTGCGACGTCTTCATAAACGAATTTCAAGGGATCTGTGTTTTCAGTCCACATCTAAACAAAAATTAATTAAATTCAAATAAAAACAGAAAATAATGTTTAAAAACACTTACATCAATCATTTTCTTGCCGTATTTTTCTTTGAGGCGTCGATAAACATCAAAATATTGCTCTACATCAACCAAACTCAATGATTGAACAATCACCTTATCATCATTTGACTCTTCAGACCATTTTAGAATCTTTGGAAACAATTTGTCTGCTAACCACTCACCACTACAAGTATCAGCGTTGGTAATATCAACAATCAATTGTAGAAAATTATTTTTCAGCTCAAATTTATACTGAAAAGGTGGCGCAACTAATTTTACTTTATCACTTGAACTAGCAGCCAAAAACTGAACATATTGCTCATTGTAATTAAATATAACAACTTCTACAGTATTATTACCACTTTCTTGTTTAGGTAGCAAAAGTCTAACAGTGATAATAATACCTGTGTGAGTGTTTTTAAATTCTTCTTGACTAATTTCGTCTAAAACTAAATTTTTATCATAAGGAAGTAGTAAATCTTTAACCAATGTGCTCAAAGTATCTTTAGAATAATTACGATGATCAATTTTGTTTGTTTCATAAGTTAATGACGTGTAGTTGATTAAATCAGAAAGATTATTGCTGATACTTTGAAAGTGAGTGTTGTAGAAGAACAAATTTGATACCCGCATAACTTTTTGTTGATTAAATGTGGCCTGTCATGGTAAATCCTCAGCGCATGATAAAAATTCACTGGATGGACAGGAGATACACTGCTTGCAAGTGGGATTAACATTGTTGCTCACTACTTCTTTTTCTAGTCGAATATGTACAATAGCGGTAGCCATTACAACACAATATTCAACGGATACATACCGCAAACGCAGAATTGCTTCACGCCGTTCCATCAAAGCTACCAGATGTACTTCCATGGATATTCCCCGCCCCAGCAACCATATCAATATTTTTACAATCAACCGCAATACTAATTTAAAAATACATCAATCTACATTTTAAATGCATGTCACACTGATCTGTACCATCACTGGATGATTATTGTCAATATTATCATCAATCCAGTGTCAATACACATCAGCGGCCATTACCACCCGCTTGAACTATAAAATTTTATTATATTTTTGCTTTCTACGAAAACAACTCGGGCTTCAAATTTCATTCTTTCGTCCACATGTATTCACAATTCGCCTCTCTCGTCATACATGTATCAACATCGACGCCGTGTTCTTTTGTGTGTTGAATGAGTGTGTAATCGCATTGCGTCGATTAGAAAAAATCTTTTACAAAAAAAAAACAAACAAACAATATAATAATCATAGGGTATGACACAAACTTAAAAACTACTATCAACAAACGTAGTGACAAGGTCCCTTATCACTAGCGCGTACAACGCGCAGTGTTTACTTCGAAACACATATGATAGTACTCCCATCTGAACGAAGTCAATATCATACAGAAAATTGCTGATAAGGACTTTATCACAGCCAAAGAACAGCGTCATTTTATTGAAAATAGCCGTCGACAACGTGCGCCCTCTGCATTCCTAAACTTGGTGCGTTTTACGATTCATTTCATGCCGCCATCTTGTCAAAACCGTCAACATCCGCTTGGGGCGCGCTTCTCGTAAACAATTACATAACAATAATATAACAATATGTACACGTTGTGTCGTCTCGTTTCGTGTCGCACGTGTTCGCAATAAACCGGACGCCATCTTGCAAAATATCTAATATACAATATAAGCATTAATAAACGTAGAGGTTAATTCATCCTTCAGAGTGGAAGTATTTTCTTTTGATGTGTGTGTGAGAGTGGATGTGTGTATGGTCTTAAGAGACACGCCTAGCATAGCTCGAGTAGTCCGGGCGTGCGCCCGCGCACGACAGCGCTATCTCTAATCTAAGTATGTACAATATTGACAAAACAATGCGCGCGCGCGCAAGCACACACACACACAGGCCGACAGAGAATTCAAGATTTTACATAAACCGCATCCAATCAAAAAACAAAAAAACGGAAAAACAACGAGCCGTGATGTATTGTCGAAAACTTTCTAGGCGCGCGCGCGCATGCGGTTTGTGTGCGCTCGTGCGCATGCGCACTAGGTATGTCGGATATCGAGCAGTGTCGGATCTTGCGTGTGCATTGTATTATACGACAACGCGCCGTAGATACCAGCGCCGGACATGGCGGGAATCTCGCGCGGTTTGATATTCAACTTCTCACACGACACCGGCGGTGGTTGAATGCCTGTAGACGTAGTTGTCTTCTTATCGCCATCCTCGGCGAAAACAGTCGAAGTGGCCGGCACGACAAGTCGCACATCCTCGAGGCGACTGTTGCCGATTAAATACTTGAAGAATTCGTATGTTGACCAACAGATGGCGGTCGCTGGCATCTGATACATGACACGTGCTTGAACCCCACGGAAGAAACCAGACAATCCACCAAGTCTACAAAAAATCAAACTAAAAACCCAAACTTAAAACAAAAATTAAAGTTTTCTTTACCTATAAACAGTTCTGACAGCCGCAAGCATACCAGTAGTAGCTCCCACCTGCTGTGTATTCAACAGTGTCTTACACACATCCAACGGAGTAGTAATAGCGGCAGCCACCGCGCCCGCCATGGCGCCACTAACCATATGCGCTTTGGGGTTATAAACATGCTCACGATTCGTCAAGTGCTGCATCCATTCATACACCATGAAATGAATACTCTGAAAGGGTATGTTCATCGTCAGCTGCGTCGTGTACGAGCGATAGAACGCCGGTAATCCTTCAGTGCGATACACACGCACCAAACAATCCGTGACGGACTTGTACGGCGAATTGTACATTTGCAATCTCTGCTTGACCACTACAACAACACAGAATCAATAAATAAATGAATGAAACATTCGGTTCATTAACATTTTTAAACAATGGACGCGTAGATTGCATTAAAATCAATTTGTGCCGCGCACCTGGTGAACCACAACGACTGACCGTGACCTTGATACCAGTGTGCTTCAATGTCGAATGTACGTACAAATTACATTTTAATAACGTGCACGTTATGCAAGGACGCGAGTCAAATATTAATTTCGATGAATTTCACAAATTCAAAATGGCCGCGCATGACATGCATACCGGTTGTGCGATATATATATGCGCACATTTTAAACGAAAACATGTATGCAAATAGCTGATAACGACTTACCTTCGGCCGGATTCATGATACCGTCGTGTAACAACGTCGATATGCAGCCGGAGGCACCTAAAACAACAAAAATATTATGAAAACTGCAAAGTTTCAATGCAAAACAAAAGATTTCGGTGTTTTTGTAGACGTAGTTTCATATTACCTGATTATTTTGCGTGCAAATGCCACCAAAGTCGATGACATCAAATAATCGTGTTATTGTTTATTAAAGGAAGCAAAAGAATAACGATAACAAGGCGCTGATTAAACACAGAATAAAAATAAAGCGTGTTTTTACTTTGTGTAATCTTTCACCGCGATAATAAATTACGTGTGCGGCCACAATCGACTGATAACAAAAGCGCACACCTCGTAATTGATATATAATTACGATTCATGCGCGCAATCAGGTGCGAAACGATAAAATCGTGTGTAAATATTGATGACACTCGAGCGTTTTCATAATTGAATTTGTTTGTATTCATATTTGCCCATTACAAACACATCAAAATCAATTATTTTATCAATTATATATTAATTACGCGTAATGCAACGTAAAACAAACATAAAATCTTGGAAATAAATTAAATTAAGTAGAAATATTTTGTGTTTCATGCTTACTCACCGTAGATAAGTGTGTGATAACGATTTGAGGTGGTGTTTGAAATCAGGCGGTCCTTGAGGTACTCGTAGCTGCTGAAGTAGAGTGCGTGCGAGGGCCCCGCGCCGACAACCATCGCCGACATGCCACGAACCGGGCGCAGCATGCCTTCAGTCTGGACCATTTTCGTGAACGTCTGATAGACGCCCTGATTGATTACAGTCAGGCTCTGCATTCGAGTCTACAAACATAAATTTTATTATAATCTGTATTCACATGATAACCTCAAGAAAGATATTTTTATTCTGATTCATCTATTACGAAATAACAAACTATTTTCTGTAATAAACAGAATAAAAATAGATTTGAAAATGTTATGATTGTGTGAATGCGCAAGCAAAATGAAGAACATGACATAACCTCGTTAACCTATCGAGATTATTAGATAACAAGCTTAACAGATGGACTAGATATTATAGGTTATGTAATAGATGATTGTGGATTGAATTGCGGGGTGCAATGATGATTGTTGAATGATTGAATGATGGAAAGAAGTTTTTGCTTTACCTTGACAGAGTCCAGTGGATACATTACGCAATGCTCCATCACGCCAGCGATGGCCCCGGCCGTCATGTGTGCGCCGACGTTGTTGGTCGGCAGCGACTCATAGTCCTCGGGATTCATCCTGTGTCAGACGCAATTGTCGACTCTAGACACACGGTGAGAGAGCTGGTGGTGATTGTGTTGGCCCGGTGTGTGTGGGACGCGTGTACGTCGGTCGCCGCGCTCGCCGGCTCTCTACTGCGCGCTGCCACACGACCAACTGGAGTTGAGGCGCAGCAGATGCGAGCGCGCACGAAGGATGCCGAAACGACGCTGGTTGGCTGGGCTGAGTGCTGCGCATGCGTTGCGTGCACGGCGCGGATCAGACGAGACTTGTTGGAGAATGGCGAACAGCGAAAAACTTTCTTTTCTCCAATGACGGACACATGAATTTTGGAACGGCGCGTTTTTACGCGCGTCGGCGATGGACCATCACAGCCGGAATAATTTCTCGTAGGCTTGTGCTTCCGTTTTGTTTGTGTCAGTGGGCAAACTGTCAAAACGAACAAAAAACTGTCAAAATTATTGAAAATTAATGAAGCTGCCTGCATACTTAAACAAGTAAATGTTTATAATATTTACTTAGCCAGCAACGGTTATTCCCTACAATATTACTCCCGAACATATTTTCTAGTCTTAAATAATTAAATAACAAATTAATTAAGTTATTCTCCTTGAAATACAAATAGAGCAACAAATTCAAAATGGCGACAGTACCAATGCGGTCAATACCGCACTGTGAAACCAACACTACATCATCAACAACCCCACCACAATTTCAATCCCCCACCTAAAGCCGACTTCACACTATATACTAAATAATATAACCACTCCTTATGAGAGATTTACACGTGCGGCACAAAATATTGTGTGAAACTAGTTTTAGATACAACATAAGATGTCACTACTGTCAAGTTTTCCAGTGGCTCTCAAACAACAAATATTATCGGACCACTGTGTGTTTGTGGTTATCCCATAAACGCGTTTCGGGCGTCAGTTCCAGCCAATCTCACGAATTTAACGCAGTAAATGTGTTTATTTTGATTCAAAATTGGAACTTCCGACGAGTTTATTCCGCACATCAAGTGGCACATCCATAGATAGTGCGATTTTATCGCAAAATTAGTGTTTAATAAGTGTTTTCGGTGAGTGTGCAAATGAAATGTGTAGCCGTGTCACAAATAAAGTTAAAAACTAATTAAATTTTATCATTATTAAGTTATCCAAAGTTATTTAGATAAAAACGTATTCGAGAACGATTATGAATGTACTATAAAATTAGAAATATTAAAAGTCATCATTGTAGTTTATTGTGTTTCATTTTTATTCACTTTAGACCGTGACTCTTCACTTGCATCCCATTAGAATTAATGTAAGTTTATGAAGAACAACGGTCTAAAGGAAAAATATTTTTTAGATTGCCTAAAAGTCCAAAAAAATGAGTGATACAACAGATATGGAAAAATTACGCATTCTCACAATGTGGGAATGTGGAAAAAGCACAGCGGAGATAGCAAAATCAGTAAATAAATCTGTAAATATCAAAAAACAGCTATTTTGGGAATATTTTAATCTAAAAACCTAATTTTCTAGGCGAGAACAGTCCAGAGATGGTTGGCACATCAAAAACGTGAAGGCAACATGCAGAAAAAACCTCGTGGTCTACGTCCACGCAAAACAACACCTGAAGAAGACGCAAAAATTATCCAACTAGTTCGAGAAAACCCCGAATTAACACAAAAAGAAATCCTAACTATTTGTAATCTCAATATCTACAAAGGTACACTTCGTAAACGGATACAAGAAGCCAATGGGATCTACAAAATAGATTTATTTGCTGATTCAAAGGCCAAAAGTGGACAGAAAAGCCCTAAGAAACGAGGAAAAACTAAAAAATCACATGAAAATGACACAATTACACCTGCTATATTAAAAACAGAGACTACAGAAATAAAAGAAATAAAAGAAACAAAAGAAGAGCTTCCATCTCTTATACAACCTGTTGCAGAAGTTGAACCAACAACAAAAGTATTACTAGACATATTAATGAGTCCACAAGCCGATCACTTTGATACAACAGAAGTTAATGTTGAAGATAATCTCTTTACAATCACAGAAAACACAATGGAAAGCACGCAAGTTTATACAAAAGATGAAATTTTACCCACAAATACAAATGATTCAAGTAATATGCATGATCTAAGTAATTCTTCACTTCCCAAAAGCGAAACTATAATACCTGATGAATTATCTAATGAAATAACTGTTGATCATCATGATTTTATCCAAAATGAAGATGAACATGACCGACAACAAAATAATCAACAACATTTAGAAGTAGTGATTCAAGTAAACGAAGAGGAACAGTTAAAGTTTCATAAGAAACGCGGACCGAAAACAAAAATTTCTCATTCTCAGGAAGAAAATAATGTGACACCACAAACACCTGTTGATGATGATTGTATATATACAAGAAAAAGACGTCCGAAAGTAGAGGTGAATTATGTTGAAGAACAAGAAGACGATGATAAGAAAAGTGTTTGTGATGTTGAAGTAAAAGATCAGCCTAAGAAACGAGGCAGGAAGAGAAAAGGAAGAGAAGTTGGTGATGAAAGTTGTTATAAATTAGAGAAAGAGAAAGAAAAGACTACGACTAAAAGAGCAAAGAGGAAAATGCCTAAAGAAAAAACACAATGGGAGAAGGACAGGAAGGACACGACTGATATAGAGAAGAAGAAAATATTGATTATGGCGGAATGCGGGATGACAACAGAGGATATTGCAAGATCATTGAAGAAATCTGTAAGTTTTAGATTAAAAATTACTAAAAACAGACCGAAAAAGAGGTTGGAGTAGACTAGGGAACGACTCAGACACGACTGAGCATGTTGCTCACTGCGGGGCCTTCTATACCTGTGGGTTACCTGCAAAAAGTGGAGGGGGTAATCATGCGGATCAATAAACGCACGTTGCACATTCGGACATGGTCCTGTAACGCGTGCAAGTCAAAACGTGACTGCTATTGGAACTACGGTGCTTACCCCCACCACTTTTTGCGGGTCGTGTGCAAAACCGCAGGTATAAAAGGGCAGCTCATCATGCACTGCGTGCTCAGTCGTGCCTGAGACCTCCTCCAGTCCATCCTCTTCTTCATCACTTTCTACAAATAATAACAAGATATTTAACTCCTTACTACTCTAATTTTATATTTCCAGAGAAGAACTGTCCAAAGATGGTTAAGCAAACACAGCAAAGGCCTAAACCTAGACAAAAAAGAACGTGGCCGGCGTCCACGCAAAACAACCCCCGAGGAAGACGCCCGAATCATCCAACTAGTAAAAGAAAACCCCCACCTATCACGCAAAGAAATTCTAAACTTAGCAAACATAAACCTGCACAAAGTAACGCTGAAAAACCGCCTCAACGAAGCCGGGATGTTCTTCAACAGTCAAGGCGTGAAGATCCTCGACTTCACCGATCAGAACTCAAATCAAACAGTTGATAAGCAGTCAATAAACCGTCCGAAATACGAGGTGTTAAATCTCTATCTAAACGTGAATAGTGTCAAGGACGAACGCGACAGAGACAGGAAAATGCAACATTTTGTTGGGCATGATATAAACATAGATAACGATCGTGATAACGAAGCGAATACGATTATCACGTGTTCATCACTCACACCAACACCGGCGATTACGAATGCCATCTTGACTTGTCCAACACTGTCTACTACTTTGATTATTACTAATCCGGGTGAGAATGGGGAGAATAATCAAAGTATAGAGTATGTTAATGTTAATGAGGCACATGGGGAGGATGGTGGAGGTGGGAATTATCAGGATTACAACTTGTATTAGTTGAAGAATTTAATATTTTGAAGATATTAAGAGAGTTATGTGGGAGAAACAAATTAAAAGTGATAATAAACGGTGCAAAATGTTTTTTAAGCAAATGAGTATGATGAGATCATGATGGAAAGATGGAAAATAATTTAATGAATTGTGTTTAACTTTGGAATCGTAAATAATATGAAATGTCTACTTGGAATTGTTTACACTTTGTATGCACTGATAAGGCATGAATTGAAACAATAAAATGAAAAAAATGAAGAAAAAAAACATGCATTGTTACTCATATTATTGTATAATAAAGATAAACTGAGAAAAATATGACTTGGAAACTCAAGAAATTAAAAGATAACCCCAGAAATTCATAAAAATGATAATATTCTACATTTTATCACTTGCAGAAACAGAAATAACCAAATATTAGCACTTTTCTTCGATATTCTGCTTAATCCTTACTAATATTATAAATGCGAATGTCCTGATGTTTGTTACACTTTCACGCAAAAACTACTTAACCGATCATCATGAAAATTTGTACACATATTCTTAGTGGTCCCCGAATGGTTATAGGCTACTTTTTATTTAATAAAAAAAATTATTTTAAAAATAAAATAAAGAAATAGTTTAGCCAATAATACCTCTGCATCTGGCTATTTGACTACTTTAACGCCATCTAGCATTCCAGCAATGAAGCTCAAACCTAAGTACTATAGTACCATCACACTGTATTATCACACTGTATTACCGACAGCTACGTCAACATCAAATCCAATTGACTACACTATGGAGACTGTACACTATACTTCCATAGACTATACTTTCAGCCATTTTAAACTTCCCGCCATTCTACTTCATTGTTACTTCTTCTGTGACTACAGACGCGTACGGAAGCAACTTCTATTTTAGATATTCGCAAGCGAAACCGCGGGTTAAAGCCAGTTGTATAATAAAGATAAACTGAGAAAAATACTACTTGGAAACTCAAAAAATTAAAAGATAACCCAAGAAATACATAAAAATGATAATATTCTACATTTTATCATTTGCAGAAACAGAAATAACCAAATATTAGCACTTTTCTTCAATATTCAGCCTAATATATTTAATAAATGACAAAAAACTGTCATTTAACATGCGCTACACGACGCCATGTTTTTTCCCTCCGCCATTTTGAATACAAAACCAGAAATATTACTAAACAACACCGAACGTTAATGGAATCTAATATAACATCTAAAAATACAAGTCATCATCGCGTTTATCATTAGTTTCGACCTTGAACCAACAAAAAATAAAAAACATGCAAAAACTAATCTTACATAATCGCAATTCACCATTTGCACACTTAAAAATATGCCAAATCATCTAAAAACTACAATTATTCATGACATAACATGAATATTTCAGTTGTTTGTTAGTCGATTCACGTGATTCACTTATTTCTTGGTTTCTAGAAGCCAAAACTAAGTGAATGTTGTGATTGCACACGTTTCCTGACCCGGTAAACCAAAAATGAAACAAGAAACAAGAAAGTTTTAATATTTAGTTGCTTAAAATCATGATTCCTATTCTGATTCTCATTCGAAACTCAGCTTTCGTTTTTATTGACCTTGATCGCATGTATTAAACAAATCCGCCGAGCAACAAACTCATAAAACATCGATGAGTAAATTCTAACCCTACTAAACTCAACGAACGGTTTTGCTTTTGATTTTGTTAACAACCTGTTGTGTTCTAATTGAACGAACGATTTATGTAGTTAACATGGCGACAATGGCAATGATGATCAAACTTAGTCTATTATTATTATTATGATGTTTAACTTACGTAAATATTTGTGTCAATGCTGCTGTGTGGTTGATTCGTGAAACAAACGAAGCACGCGGTAAACAAACAACTACTGTTCGTGTATGCTAACAGAGTGAAAAATGGCGACACTTTCACTGTTCAGTACTGACTGATTGACTGAATTTAACCACACTAACCGGTAGTGAGTTAATTAATAATTAATCTATGCCAAATTCACTTTCACGTGCGGCCACGGCAAGCTCACTTAACACACTGAGCAAAAATGTGGTTTAAGTAAATACCTGTTTTTAATATAGGCAACCTTGCATACACTATTTTGACCTTGATTGACAATATAATGTTAGTATGCAATGGCAGTATGAGAAAATGTTTGAAAATTTAACATAGGCAACCAGAAATACACTACATTGACACAGTAAAGCAAAATAATACTAATATTGAATTAATATTACGAAATAAGCAGTAAATTATTAAAATTTAAAAGTTTAAAGTGTAGGCATCATACATTGACTTTGATTGTCAATATAATTGACAATTTGAGAGAATATGAAAGCAGCATTAGAAATTTAACATAGGCAACCAGTTATACACCACATTGACCTTGTACAGCAGTATATACTCCAGCAATACATAAAAATGAAGTAAATAACTGAATTTTAAGTTTTAAAGCGTACAGCATTGCATTTTGTATATATTTTTGTATTTCATGTCAATTCAATTGTTCCAGCTTGTTGAAAAACTGAAAGCACGGTCTAATAAACGTAAAACACGAAATAAAATGCAAAATAACGAAAAATATCTCAATTACCTCAACATAATTCCTGCGCAATTTTAGGTTAGTATCATCTCGTAATGGCAAAATGGCGGGTCTGAATATGACCCGTAAAAATCTACTGTTAAACTGACAACACTGTAAGAGTCCAAGTGGCAAGATTGAGTTTTGCACATAAATGTCAGCGCAGCGTGCAAGATATCAGTGTGAAACGTTTTTTTTTCTTTTTTAGAAGAAAAGAATTTCAAGAGATAAAAACAGCGTTTTCTGTTTGTTTCGTATGCTTGCGCATGCGTTGTGTGTATGTGTGTGTGTTGTGTAATGGCAGCCATTTTGTTTCTTTAGGCATGAAAATTAATAAAGTCGCGCCTTGCGCTTCAGCTCGCTGCGACGCCATGTCGGCAGACGGTAGAAATCCGGCCGGGGGCATTGGAACAACATCTCAAACTCGGCATCCGATAGATGTCGCTACAAACAACACAAAATTAGTTATAATATATTTCGCAATAGAGGTTATGTTGCATACCTCAAGGTTACACCTGTCAACGTCGGCCGGCAGGCGATAGTTGGTGATCATCAGCAGGTGATAGGGGTAGATCTTCGCCGGCTCGTTGATGAGCATCGTGTGCGCCAGGGTCGGCAGGGAGCGTCGCACTTGTGACACGAATCCGCCTGGGTACCGGCCCAATCCGCCCGTGTATGTCGTTGATACCGGCATTTCCGAATTCTATACATCAAGATACAAAAGATTACAAAACATAACCTAGAAAAACTGATTTATACTAGGGATGTGAATTTTGAGTATTAAAAATAACCGGTATTTAAAAAACCGGTATACCGGTATTTTATAAAACCGGTATTTAAAAACTGTATACCGGTATTTTATAAATCCGATATTTAAAAACTGGTATACCGGTATTTAAAAAACCGGTATACCGGTATTTTATAAAACCGATATTGAAAATAAACAGTATACCGATATAAAAAATAATTAAAATACCGGTTTTTTAAAAACCCGTTATTTTCAATACCGGTATTTCACACCCCTAATTCACACACAACATAAAAACTGATAAAATAAGCAAAAAATTTACATCTTTCTACATCTACAACCAAAAAAAGAACCGCATGCCGAATTGAAATTGAATAAATAACTAAAATAAACTAGAAGAGTGTTTGTTGTGTGTGTGCAGAAAACAAAATGGCCGCTTTTGGAGAGAGAATGTACATACCAGCGGACGCCGTTCGACATCAGTGATGGACCCAGTTGAAACTGTCGAAAATAAGAAGAAAAGTGTGTGTATTATAAACCGCCATCGATTCGCGCTTGCAGCATGTTTGAAAACACCATAAACTTTTGTTACTTTCGCACCCAAGAAACTAAAAGATAACCTTTACACTTGAAACACAAGAGGGCGCTGCAATAGGTACTAGTGAAAGCCATTAGGAAAGCATATAACCGAACAAGCGATAAAAATAAATAAAAACTTAAAGAATATAAACATTTGAACCGTCGCGTTGTTATTATTAGTTGATTCCCTTTTTGTTGGTGGTGTATTTTATACTCACTGTCGGATTTCCCGCTGCTGAAGTCTGTACTATGCGTTTTCACGCCCATCCCGCTAAACGAGTAATCGCCCTGCGAAAGTTTCAACAGTCACATCAACACTTGCATTGAAAACAATCAGGAAAAACACTCAACAATCAACAAATGAGATGTGAAATGTGTGTAAATACGTTAAATTTGATGAAAATGATCAAAATATAATGTTTTTACTATTGAAATATGATTAAATCATAAATATAACTAAAAGCTGTGTTATATTTTGAGGTTATGACAACCTGCACTTACGGGAATATGCGTATAACTACCGGCCGTCGAGCTGAAGGTGTGCGAGCGCGGCGCGAGGCCATAGCCCGGCTTCGGGACATGTCGGAGGGCGCTCACGACTGCGGGGACGAGAATGAAAATGGCGGCGTGAGTGCAAGAGAGATATTTATGCTGAGTCATAATTGGCCACGCGTTTCATATGTATACCCTACTTGTATATATATAGCCTACCAGTGAGCGGTGTGAGTGAGTGATGATGAGTGTTTTTACATTTCTGACTTGTAGGTTATGTTATGCAGTTTAAGTAATACTTACGTAGCCGTTGCGGGCGGGCAGCGTGGACGACTTCAGACCGTAACCCGGTCGAGGCGGGTTACGCAGAGGCGACACGACTACTCACCAGTGAGAAAATCAACGAAAAACATAACCAAAAACAAACAAAAACAAAATAATCAAATAAAAACCAACAAAAAACATAAAATTCACACATTGTTAGCAAATAATTAAAAATCTTAAACTTATTTTAATAATAAACTGCATCCATGCACAAATTTAGGTTATTTCGCTCACCTCGCAGGTCGATAATGCAGTTACCTTTCTAAAATTTCGTCATTTCGTGTAATTTTGTTATTGTTTTGACATTTTTACTAAATTTTCGAACTTAAACAAGTGGCCAATTAGATTCACTCAAGTTTCACATGATAATTTCAATAAATTCGCGTGTTTTTCTTATTTTAACTAAAACCAAACAAGATGGCGCTATACTCACCATTGTAACTCGGTATCTGCCCGGTGGAGCGGCCCATCGACGAGCGGCAACTCATCGAACGATCGAATTCTTCATCATCAAAGGGTCTTTGGTGGTCGAGGTTTCGTGAAGGACTCGCGCCAATCGGCGAATCATATCGTAGTCGATAACCTGGTTCTTTATTAGCAGACGGTGTCCTAAAAAATAAAAATTCAAATAAAAACATTAAAATACAAACAATTAAATTTTTACCTTGAAGCATTGCGTGGATCAAGATTCGCAGCCTTCCACTGCTTGATCTTCTCCCTCTCCTTGACATTCTTGAGGAAAACTTTACCAATTCCAGTCGCAATCTTACTCAACTCTTGTTCTTCACGCTTGAGCTGCGCATCTTCAATTTCCTGCGGTGTGCGCACCTCTCCGTCAATGGCGTCCTCATCATCCGAAACAGGCACGCCTTTATAAGAATCCGACCTTCTTTTTCTACGTTCTAAAAAACATAACCACAAATTTAATATAAATAAGGTTATGTTATAAGTTAGGTTATGTTTTTTTAAATGTATTACCTGGATCAGTGTACGGATACGGCGGAGCCGGAAAATCATCCCTCTCAATCTTCGGTTTATCACCGGGTTTCGGCGGTTTCGCATCCGGAAAGTGCGCAAGCTCAATCGGCTCCTCGTTGTTCATGTGCGGCGATTTCGGGCGGGGCGTTTCCGATCGCATAGCGTCCACCATAACCATCATACCGGATTTTGTCTGTCGGAAACGCCCACTACCGGAAGACAAACCCCTCAGAGAAGTTTGAGCTAAAAATCATAAAAAACAATCAATATAACCTCAAAAACACATAAAAATGTGTTTCTATTGGATTACTTACATGTAGGTCGATGAAAATGTGGCGAAACAGGCGCTTTGTCATACGGATCAATCGGTTTCTTCAAATACCCGAGAGATGGCTCTTCAGTGAGGTAACTATAGGTGTAAAGCTTCGAAATGTCTTCTTGCAGTGTGGTAGAACGATTATAATCACGCAAAACAAGCCCGGGAGATGGCGTTCTATATCCATAGTGCTAAATATACACAAAATATTAATTTTTCAACTTAACAAAATGGCCGACACAAGAAAAAAATGAAACAAACCTTTCGAGACATGCTACTCGCGCAATACAAGGAACCGTTCAAGCTAGGCGTGCGCGAACGCATCGAAAACTGCAAAGAAAACAATAAAAAACACTCGTGCAGTAAAAACCAACAAAAATCAACAACTAAAGCAATTTTTTAATTCTAATAAAAAATAAAAAAATAAAAAGAGGCGTGGTTTAATTTTTTCACTCAAAACAATTCTTACTTGCATCTCGCTGACAGCTGAGCTACTCATGCGATCAAACTCGCGCCCGCCATCTGTATCCGTACAGTGGCCATTTTGATCCCCACTCCCATTGAGAATCTGCCCGTTCTCAGTCGGACCTGGCCCGCATCGTGGATGCCAGATAGCCCCACCCTGTAGATACATTTCTTCACCATCACCAAATGGATCGCCGCATTTCGTGCATCGTGCGCATGTCGGATGAAAATGATGATTGTCACCCGCCTGCAACACCTTGCCGCTGATGAAGCGCTGACAATAGGCGCATTTCACGCCGAATTGCTGCTGGTAATCGCGTTCGCAATACGGCACGCCATCACGGCCCATGTATTCGCCGTGTAGGACAGCGCCGCATGTGCCACACTTGAAACACCACACGTGCCATTGTCGTTCGAGGGCCACGAGTGCTTGGCCTTCCTTTAATTCTTCTTTACAACCAGCACATTCTGAAATTTTATTTGTGTTTAAAATCTAGGGATTTTTATGTTGTGTTGGTGATATTACCATTTTGATTAGTACTAGATTTACTAGTGTTACTCGTTGGGCTGCCTACTTTCGGCGTGATGACTTGTTTTGTTGGGATGTGCATACACCGCCCGCATAACACCTCTTTTCCGGTGTAGGTGACTTTCTCTCCGGAGGGAAACGCTTGTCTGCATCGTGCACAAGTGAAACACTTCTGGTGGTAGGTCTTTTGATTATTCCTGTTTTTTGCGTCCGCTTGTTCGGCGAGTATCAACTGTTGCGCGCTTGTTTTGGCATCTAACTTGTCCTTGCCCTTCTTGTGTTTGCCAGATTTACTTCCGCGGAATAATTTCAACATTTTCACGGTGTCTAAACGAATATTTTTTTAAAGTAAGTTTAAATTCGACCAAAAATAACTGCAGAGTATTTTTTTCTTGTTGAAAATTGTACAATACACGTGTGTAAGTTGGGTTGCCTATAAATAACTCAACTATACTATTTTAAGACGTGGGTTTTCATCGATTCCAGACGTAACGTGAAGAAATTTAACCAAAAAAATCCAACAGTAGTCGTGGATTGATGCTATATTTAGAAAATATTCGACTGAAGTCGCAGCGCGCTTACTCAGCGTCTATAACGCGGCGCAGTAAAGTAAGAAGAACATGCGCAGTGTGCACGTTGTGCTGTTAAAGCAGTTTAATTGCTTCCTCAGTAATTAAATCAAACAAGCTGACTTCATCCGCAAAGATGAAACAGTTTTCTTTTTTTTTTAATTAATTTTTAGTAATAAATACGTCTCTGTTTTATTTTTATTTTTAGTTGAATAAAGCTGTTGGCATTGAAAACAATACTCGGAATCTGATATCAAGTGAAAAACGACACTAAAATGAAAATAAAAATAAAAACAATCGTAAAATGTCAAAGAAGCTGTTTTAGAATGCAAATAATGTATTACAATGACGTAATACACCTACAACATACAAAATGGCCGACATTTAATGACGTCAGATGAAATCAAAGTGTTAAAACACATAAAACACCGTAAGTAACCGATTATTATGTAATATTTAAGCACTCATCTTAATACCATACTTAAGCTACCTGCGCATGATCAAACCTAACCGACTTAAGTCTTATGACTCACGCGCGCATTAACATCAATAACCAGTAATTACTTATAAACTCCACATACTTAAATCGTATGTAAATGTGAATTACACTCAGTCAATTTAAGTCGACTTAAAAGTGAAAACAACACCACAATGTGCTAATTATGCACAATATTCATAATCACATTACCACAAAATGCAAGCAGGTAAGTCCTTAAGTAAACACCGCATGCGCATTGCGCACTTGTTGAGTAAAGTCGGGAAAAATGCGAAAAACACGTTGCGCACAGGCAAAAATAGTTGGAAACGAGAAGCAGAAACAACCTTGGCACGAATCGCGTCTCCGCGGCGTGAGTTAAAATCGTATTGTTTTCGATCACACACCGAGTGTCACAGAAAAACAATAAATTATGTTTTAATGATAATGATAAGAAACACAATACGATTTGATATGTAATTGGATTACTCACATGTCACAAGTCATGATAATCAAAATTTTTGAAAAATAGTTAAAAATTATAAACAATTAATCATAACTATATCACTAGGCACTTAAAAGTTAAGTACTTAAAGTAAGTAAAATTGACTTAAGTCATATGTATTGATATAATGATATACAGAGTGTTTTGTTAGAAGAAATCAAAAAATGAAATCATTTAATTAACCTGTTTAAAGTGTGATCGTACTTAAGTTAAGTAGGTGCTTGGTGATACAAGTTTCTATATTCTATATTGGTTATTGACGTAATATTTATACACCGGATGATGTCATCTTTGTAGACTGTGTTTTTATCAGAACAAACAATGATAACACGACAATCAAACAAAAAAAATTACGTAATCTATATTTAAACACAAAGAAAACCTATGAACACCCTGTATCTCCTACCTAGAAATATTAAATTAAATACTCTGCAGTTTTTGGTCGATAAACTAAACTTAATCTAATCTAAAACTTTTTCTTTTACTTTTTACCCTCGGAATAAACAATTCACTTCCGGTTGATGTGATGTGATGTGACTTAAGTAATGTCAGTACACTTTCTTTTGTGTGTTATTATATTTTTTCGGGGACGATGCAACAGTAACACGCACTAGAAATTTATTTTTTCAACTTGACTTAACTTAAGTCGTTTTAAGTGAACTCGCGCAGGAATTCCTGCGGGTCACTTCACTTGTTACTTGTTATTCTTGTGTAGAGGAAATTATTTACGCGCACGCACCGAAAACCATCCGATCGTGACACGACTAATTTAAGTACGGCTCAGTTTAAGCCAACTTAAACTCCAACTCAACTTAAACCACCTTTTCAACACCCAAAAACAATCGAAATTATTTGCATTCAACAAAACTTAAAATTCACACGAATTGTAACAATATATACAACTTTCAAAGTGACTTAAGTTGTGACTTAACTTAAGTATTGTTATTTTTTTATTCTTATCTACACCCGACGAATGCGAACACAATACTAAACAGCCGCTAGCAGAAGCAGAGTTAACACTGCGGTGTTGCGCACATCGACTTAAGTCGTGTTAACATCGGCTAAGCTCGGAGATCCGCTTAACTTCACGCGAGGAGTCATCCGAGTCATCTCAACACTGCACCACACCTTGATCATTGAGCATTTCCGACCCGAAATTAACACTACTAACGCCACCTATGCTCGTACAATCAAAATAAAAACATAAATAAACACAAATTATGCAAAATATGCAATAAATATTAAATTTGCTGTGATGTCACATTATTACCAAAGCTATAATTTTATAATTAACATCAAGCATACGCAGTTATTACAACAATTAAATTAAATACATCGTTATCGAAAATTAGTACGTAAATTACTTCGCAAATGTTTAATTTCTCAGAAATCGTTAAGTATTATTACTTAAACAAGTAAAACTTCACACAAATTGTTTGATCTGCGTACCTTTACCGCCTAAACACTTCCAAACTGAAATCAATATCAATTTAATTAAAACCAACACTTAAAACCACTTTACAGGCCCGTATTTAATAAATTTTTAAATTTTTTACTTAAAATAAATTAAATACGGTCCTGTTCTTTGACTTAAATACACACGATGAATATTTACCACTCACTTGATCTTTCGATCTCCAAAAAACCTAATAAATAAATAAACGAGTGACAAAATGAATCAATGAAAGTTAATTTTATTACATCGATGAAGTGAATGTGAATGCCGCCTCGACCTGCCCGCCATCTTGCAAAAGGTTAAAGACCCAGGAAGTCGCGTCACACGCACCTCAGCGTACTAGTTACTCACCGTACTTGAATTGCAATCCACCACAATACCTCAATAACCGTCGAGGTTCGAGATTCGAGACACAACTAAAAATAATCTCGATGGACTCAATCAACAATCAAAGTCCAAATATTTCCCCTAAATAAATACAAATCAACACCCTCGGTGGTATTCTACACCCCTACACTACCTCAACACCCTAAAATATCGATTTGTGACCTTCACGCATGACATAACCTCAAAATTATTTCACTAACCTTAAATTTAATGCGTTTGTGATGTATTCTAATCATATTTATATTTATTTAAACTTACTCTGTTGATTTTCTTTATCAGTACCACCACGTTGAGTGATTGCATGGCGCCGGCAAAGATAAAATGGGTCAAAGGGCGTTCGCGTTGTTAATTCACGCAAAAATCAACCTCAACACACACACACAACCATCTTGTTTTTTTCAGGCGTCGTGCACGTTCGTTTTTTTATTCGTCCGCGTTCGCCCGCCGCCGTTTTAGCGAGGGTGTGAACCAAACTGTGAAACCTTACAACTCAACTGAATAATTGTAAATTGTGCCCGAAGGTTGTACGCGTACTCTACTCTACATATTCGTATGAATGTTAATGTGTTAGTGTGTATGTTGATGATAATTACGAATTTATGTAACTCGAACTCACCCATTGCTGTTGATGTGTGCGCTGTTGGTTGTTGATGATACCAAAATTGATGATTTCACGCGCTTCTTTCTCAATCTGTGTGTAGTTTCTGTGTGTAATGTAATCACGCAATCACCGCCGTTGCTGGACGTCGACTCTGACGGGCACTACCAGGCGCAGCGAGTACGAGTACGAGCACATCGCCAAACGTTCCCCGCACGTAAACGCAACAGCGTGTGTACTGATTCCAACTAGACTGGCATCCGCTCGCCGCCGCACTGGTGCGATGTCGATTAATTCACGATTTACGCACGTAGCGCACCGGTTATTTTTCAGGGTTTCAGCTCGCCGCGGTTGCGAGGTGCATGAAACAACGGAGCAGCGGGAGCAGTGCAGCGCCAGTAGTGCCACACCGGCAAAACGGTCATTTGCGGAACTAAAATAAATTACATTTTAGTTTTGACAATTTTGGAATATATCAACAAATATGTTGATATTTACAATAAATTATATATAAAACTATTAAACATAATGTTTTACACCGTTTTTAAGGTGTTTTACACGTTAATTTTGCGTATTTTACGCGAAAAACGTTAAAATAATTTGTGTGTTTGTATAGTACCTAAACTAAGTGTGTAGGGGGCGCCACCATGCAGTGCAGCATATTTTATATAAACCGAGTGTTGCAAACAGAATTTTACGCATAAACAAATTAAAAATTAAACAAATTTGTTTTAAAACGTTTAAATTGTTAACCGATAATAATTTGAACGCTTTATTCTAGATTCTTCTGTTTATAACACACTGTGTTAACAATATTCATATAATATTCTCAATATCTCATATAATAATCGTTAATAAATTCAAAATTCAATAATAATCATATTAGAATATGTCTAAATCTGTAATAATCATTGTAATCCATTGCAATAATCGTAAATTTCGTTCGGTGTGCCACCATTCGTCACTTTTGCATTTGCAACAAGCAGATACACATACAGTGTGCTTAAAGTTACACATCCACGCACACTGATTGCATTCAACTCATCATCGTAATTTGACATTTGACAGTAAACTTCTTATTACAACTTTGACAACTTGTGTTGATTTCGCAACATACTAATTGAAACTTTCGCATTTTTTTTTGGTTAGGTTTTGTTTCTTCTCTCATTAAGTCAACTAACAACAAACACGCGATTTAAACAGTAAAGAGAAGAGACGAGAGCGAGAACGAAGACATAGAATTGCGAACAATACGCTCAGACACTATGTATGTATGATAAAATTTCCAAAAACGCATCAAATCCAAAACAAAAATAATAATTAAACCTAACAACTAGGTTATAATATAATATAACTTTCTCCCTTCAAAAAAATAATAAATAAAATATGCGCAAACATACAGTGTGTGTCTGCTGAACAAAACACACTGTATGTTTAGTAATAAATCGCAAAATAACAACAAAAAGCAACAATGTTAAACATTCTATAAATATACAATGCGTCCGCAGACAGCGGGACGTTCAGAGAAAGCACTTGTAGTGATTCGTCTACGGTTTACAAATATTCTAACCTCAATTAAACCCGATAAATAAATATTCGACAACCAACAGCACACAAAAAACTGTTTCCCGGCGTGCGCATGCGCAATAAAATCTCGTAAATTTTATCCGCCATCTTATTATCACACGTACTTTTTGTTTTTTATTAACAAGCAACACATTAATGTGTTTTTCTTTTGTTGTGTGTGCGAAAGAGTGAATTGGGTTGCATAGATTGAGATTCAAACAAATACCAGCTGCCTAATAATGAATAACTTTGTGATGTGATAATCTAGGATAGGGTGGGGATAGCATAGCATAGCAGAGGGCGCTAGTTGTGCGAGGCGGGGCGCTGGGCGGCGTTGGCGTTCAGTTTGCGTTATTCCTCGTCGGTGTCGCCATCGCTCGAGTAATCCTGAATGGGTAGAGGTCTAACAAATGGAGCCGACGACATTTGCCTAAAAAAAATTAATTATTATTAATAATTCAACAGAAAAATTAAAAAAAATTTACTTACACAAGACGCCGGTAATGATTCAGCCACTCCTCGACCATTTGAGCAACCAACAGAGGGCGCTTCGTGATGAAATGCTGCGCAACCAGTATACCATCCTCTGTTTCACACACATCCAGCCATTGTCGCAGAATAATCTCTTCACGACCCAACTACAACACACAAAATTAAAATTTTGCCCCACATAACCTCAAAATACAAACCTCAGCTTCAGTCAAAAAATGTATCGGCAACAACTTCCTATCCCTATCCATGAGCGGCAAGAAAGTACTCTGCATCTGATCGGGATTCTGCGAAGTCGGCCGACTGTCCAGCCGACTATACGGCTCCAACGGCACCAGCGCCGAGAAATGCCCGCGTGTATACCCCAACGCAATCGGCGTCTTCACACAGAAACTCGACTCCCACAACAACGGCAAATACACACCCTCAAACCTCGCATAACCTAACGCCTCACCGCGAAAACTCTTCACATACTTCACGCCGTACACGATTATCGGCCGGCGGAGTATATGCGCAAGCGCAAACACATGCAACTGCTCCAAACTAGTCCCCGGCTGTCCAGCCAACGACAACAAACTCCTCCAATCCTCCTTCCACTGCCCCTCCTCAAGCGAATATTGCAAAAAAGAGGCGTGGCTAGCCTCATACTCCTTCCATCTGGGATAAAACACATGCCCACCTTGACTTAGACTCTCCGCTAGAGCGCGCCGCAGTGCATTATCCCTGTCAAACACACCCCAAGTCGCCTGCATGACCGAATCCAGCAGACAATCACCCGAGGAACGATTCCACAGCGCGTATAACCTCGACCCCAGCCGTACGGTGAGATCCAGCGACCAGTTTATCACAGCCGGATCGCTCTCCAATTGCTCCTGCGCGTCTTTATCCAGTAACTCCGTAAACAGCTGCTCTTGCACCGGCGCTGGGAGTTCATCCACTTCGGCAGGCAGCGCGAATGTAGGCAATTCCGTGACGAAATTGCACGGAAAGTTGCCTTTCCTCTGACGGATTGTTGTCGCAAAATGGCGGCGGATATCCGCGGCCAGATCGGGCGCCACGTAACTCGGAACGCGTTTTATACCCGATCCAGAACCTTCTATCTGGGATAAAAGAATGGCGAGTAAATCTTCGCGTTGGAAACGTATCGCTAGATGGACTAATGTATGCCCTGCGTCGAATGCAGAAGATCGATTCAAGATGGCGACTTCGGACGCTGTCAGTGTACGCGCTGGGTCACCACCGGAGGATAGGTAGACTTCGACTGGATTGGGATCGCCTTCAATGACGCCATTGCAGGCATTCAACCAGTTCCAGTCGGCTTGACGTCGGAGATGACGCAGTTTACGTTCGTATTCGCAGTTATTTGAGGTTTGCGAGATGGATTCTACAATTTTTACAATAATTATTAAAATATGTGAAAATTATTTATTTCTAACCTATAGGTGTGCTGGTATTCTGAACATCTCGCTCGGGTGATGATAAAATCAGACTGGACGCTTGCGAGAAGAGATTGTTCGGTGTGTTGCCGCACATTGCACATTTCAACGTCCGTGGCCAGTTTTCATAAGTACAAACCTTACAAAATAAAAATTATAACCTCAAAATGTAAAAATATTTAAATTTACTTACAATACAATTCCATTTACTCTCCTTACTCCGCCTGCTATTCTCCAAATTCGTCAAACTCGCCGGTGGTGAATTATTCCGTGACCTTGGTAAACTAGCAGCCAAATCAGCATTACTCGGCGATATCCGTAGAGGTTGTATATGTTCATGCAGGTTATTCGCCGTGCCACACTGAATGCATGACTTGTCGCGCCCTCTGTTGAGATACGTGCATGCTTTACAAGATGACGGTGGTGACGCAGCACGTTGACATGCGCTTGCGCCTAGTTGTAACTCCGCCTGCGGAGACGCATTCTCCGCCGATTGATGGTGATCATACAAACCAAAGATGTCTTCCGATTGAAACGGACGCGGGGCACGACACATCGTGCATTTTATTGCCGAGGGGAAGTTCTCGTACGTGCAGTAGTCGCACGTCCACTTGCGCGTGCGCTGCTCGTCACTCATCATGGCCGCCCGACGAGTGGCGGATTGGTGCGAAAGTTGTGAACGCAACCAGAAATACGTGTTTTTCCTGTTTGGGTATTGTATTACCTTCGTGTGTGTGTGGTACTATGAGGTGTATTGTGGGTTGCCTAAGTTAAACTGAGAGGCGTCATGAATTAATCATTGTTTTGAAGCGTGTAGACGGGCTGAAAATCAGCCTAATCCATTATTACGTTGATTATTATCTAAAAATAAACAAAATACAAGTCAATTTATCCTTCGGAACATGTACAATATATGAATAAGTTTACTTTTGGCATCTTACACCAATTCCTAAGCAAAAACAATGCCAACACAAAAAACATTGACATGTTTATGTAACACATCTCTGTTTGATATACTTTGGGGCAATGTTAATGCATTTCTCACCTTCTGATTGAAACAAGGTCACATCTAGACAGTCCTCTTCTCAGCCCACTGTTCCACTAGGTGTTTAAACAACACTCCAACCCCGGCAGTGGCTGCAACGTCGCTGTTTACACGCTGGCGAGGGCAACAAACAGATTTTAACCTTGAAACCATGAATATTCCTTTGTTTTGCGCATCTATCACGACGATTTCGACGATTTCTGCAATGAGTACACAGAGGTAGGAGTAGAGCAGTGACACATAAAAAAAACGCAGCGAAATGCGCGAATACTCACGTCTGTCGCGGCGTTTGCTCACCGGGCATGCACAACCACCCTCGGGACGCACGAGAACGCACAATTATCCACCCGCGCGCGATTATCCTCGCTCATCTGCGCCTGCTGCTGCTCGTCACAGCTGTCACATCAACATCTTCTGCAGCAGGTTTTGCTGCTACTGCTGCTGCTACTGTTATGCACACATTACAGGTTCCTGTAATACACGAGACAATGTAATAAAAATGTTTACACGTGTGTTATGGTTATAAAATTAGTAATGTGTAGATTTTATAGCAAAATAAATGTCTGAAATGTTGATTTTGTTACTTTTTTTGAGCTGTAATATAGTTTTTGCAATAAATTCTATTTTAACATAAATTTGGTACTGGTAGCGCCATCTGGTGGATGTTTTGACATGTTTCGTGCAGATTTATAAAGTTATATACACCGTGTCCACAGGAGTAGATTTTAATTTATAAAATTAATAAAAATAGTTAGTGAGAGCTACTCTTAGGGTATTTAGCTTTAAAATAATCATAATTACTCAGAAATTATAATTATTTCCAAGTAAATATCAATATTTGCTTTGATATTAAACAAATTACTTTGGAATTTCCCCTTTAACCATGTGTATCATAAAATATAACTTTGCCCTCTAGCGGTAGATATTCACAACTTTGCGTTAACCTCACTCGCACTTACTGGTTGTCAAATACTGTATCTCGCTCGCACGGAGCTCTCCCGGGCGAAAACAAATCCCCGCTCAGCATTTGACAACCGTCTGTCGCGGTGAGCGGTGTGTGTGCGTCTCGCAGCGGTTTCGTGGTGCTGTTCACCGTGTGTACTCGTTTCCGTCGGCTCATTGCCCCCCAAAATCACCCGCGTCCCGAACCAGCTGCCGCCACCAGCTCTAGCGCGCAATGACAAAGCGCGCCGCCGCCGTGTTCACGAAGTGATGCCGGTGCCGTCGCCGGAGGGTGTGAGTGCGCGCCCCCCCTGCAGCAGCAGCAGCACACCAGCGAAACAAATATAAACACTCGTACAAATGTGGAAGCAAGTGCAAATGGGACTCCGGGCGTTCTTGCTGCTCGCGTCGCGAGTATGGAACTGCTTATGCTTTATGGTCAAGAAGCAGACGCGATCAGTGAGTTTATTTACGCAATTGACGACTTTCAGGCAATTATGTGCTGGTACTGGTCTTTGTTTCGCAGATAATCCAACACCAGTCGGTGAAATATGATATTTTTCCATTATCACCACTCTCAAGGCATAGATTAAGTGAGTATTCGTTAGAAACACCACAACTATATGCAACCAGACACACACCAAATACTATAGTTAGTTTTACTTCATAACTCGAAAAATAAAAGACTTTCACTAAAACTTTAAAAACAATCACGTAGAGAATTTAATTCTGCATCAACTAGTTCAAGAATTATTAATCTACCATTAAAATTCACCGAGTTATTAAAGAAAAACTAATAATTATGTCAAAACAACTCACGATATGCAACCAGTCATACACATTAATATTTTGTTAGTTTTGACAACATAATTTAAACTTTTACCTGTTTCTAGGTATAGTAAAGCGAAAGACGCTAGTGTTGGACCTGGACGAGACTCTTATACACTCGTTTCACGATGGCGTCGTTCGACAAACAGTCCGACCAGGCACACCGCCTGATTTCATCCTCAAAGTGACTATCGACAGACATCCGGTGCGCTTCTTCGTGCACAAACGGCCGCACGTCGATACTTTCCTCGACATCGTCTCACGATGGTAAAAAACACCACAAAACAACAAAAAACTTACTTTTTTTCACCCCAGGTATGAATTGGTTGTCTTCACCGCGAGCATGGAGATCTACGGTAAAGCCGTGGCGGATCGTCTCGACGGCGGCCGCGGAATCCTCCACAAGCGTTTCTACCGACAGCACTGCACGCCCGACATGGGCTCGTACACGAAGAACCTGAGCGCGATTTGCAGTGATCTCTCATCGGTTTTTATCCTAGACAATAGCCCGGGCGCATACAGGGCATACCCTGGTGAGTTTGCAAAATCTAGGGGATTACACTAGTGGAATATCACTAGTGTACCAATATAAAACACACAAAAACAAAAGTTATTTATAATCGCGATTAATACGGCATCGAAAACGCCGATTCACGAAACAATTAACCACTTATCATCTTGGTTACATAAAAAACAAATACAATAACAGTTCAAGGTTTAGTAAATTATTAATTATTTTAGATAATGCCATACCGATAAAGTCGTGGTTCTCGGATCCGACGGACGTGGCGCTGCTGAATCTGTTGCCGGTGCTGGACGCGCTGCGTTTCACGACGGACGTGCGCAGCGTACTCTCGCGCAATCTACACCTGCATCGCCTATGGTAGATTGGTTGCCTACTTTCACAATAAACACACTCACACACAACAATCCCGCCCATAAAACATACATTTAAGTAAGTATTATGCAATAATAACATTTTTCTTGCCCCCAAGGTCAAAAGAACGTTACCGTCGCCATCGTCCAATGCTACCTCCCGATGATACCTGCTACAATAGTCCTTCTCCACACCGAATGCTCGAATCCTACCCGCTTTAATTTATTTATTTTATATTCTCGCATATATTGTGCATTAAATTCCCGTCTAAAGTCGATTGCGTGTTATTTTAGGTTGGATCTTTTGCGCATCTACAACTACCAAACCAATTGGGTACAAACTACAAGCAACATAACCTTAAACACTTAAAAACACCTTTGACTATTAATATATAAGTATATATTATTTATTTTTTGCGGATAACCTAAAAAGAAAGAATGCAACATTTCAGAACACAAAATATCTCCGAATATTTTGCTGTGCGTTATTAACACTTAGTAAAATTGATCAGTTTGCGATAAATAAACACTTTACACACATGCACATACTCATTACACATCATCCACTCAAAAATTATCAGTTATTCGATATTAGACATGAGAAAAACCTCACAAAATGTTAGTATTTTAATGCGAATTGTTAATTTTTGTTGATTTGATTTTGTTGAACGGCCAGAACTTGTCAATATGCTATTTATGTAATAAGTTTTGTACATGTAATATTTATTTTCTGTCAAAAGTGCAGTGTTACGCCCTAAAAGTTAAAATTTTAAGGAAAAAACTTGTAACACTGCACTTTATACAGATGAAAACTATTTTTATGTTTGCTGCGCTGTTAATAACTCGTGTACATTTGTAAGATACGTTTAAGTGGACTTAAGTATCAACCAAATACATACAGTTTATGTTAGGCAACACAAACTACACGCAAAACACACAACACACACAGAAAACCAACAGATACAAATAATATCGTACCTGATTTTCACCACATTTCACACTGAGATCATTTTAACTAGCGTTTAAACTTGAGATAATTCTTAATATGTACAGAATAATAATTGTTAGCGTTAATGAAAGGACCTAATCGATGTTAAACACATGCGACGCCCAAACAAACAAAACGTTGAAGTGGAAAGAGGTAAAATATCATAGAAAAACATAAAAAAGGTTACCGTACAACTTAAGTAATAATAAAACTTGTTTACGCGGCGTTGTCAAAGACGAATGAGAGTAAGATATTTTTATATGTCATTACTTTGAGGTTAGTGATTTAAGGTTAACTGTAACCTAACCTAAAAGAAACTTCTCATCTCGTACGCGTACTTTTCCACTTTACCAATTTCGTAGACTTCTCCTAAATAATACTAACTAATAATAAGCAAAACTAGAGAACATAACCTAAGATATTGTAAATATAGTCCTAGTTAAAGTGAAATGTGAAGATATTAGTGATTACATTAAGTACGAATTGAACACATTTTCAGAACGCCGCTGCGCAGAGTTTGAATTTTGTAAATTTTGAGGTTAGCGTGTTCTGGACTTCGATATTCGAAATAAACCTGCAAGTTTATTTCCTTCGTCCGCATTTATTCATAACAAAACAAAACAAAAGTAACAAATCCACTATTGATTCATTTAAAATTCATGTAAAAAATTGCATTTTGTTTGATTTGAGGTTAGAGGACTGAAAATAGGTTTACCCACCTACACCACACACATAGAGAAGAGAAATCATTGGTTAACCATTTGTTTAATTTGGTGCCTACCTAGGAATTAGTTAGTTGTATTGCGCGTATCAGATTGCAGGATGACCTCGTCGGTGATTGGCTCGCCGTGTCGTGGAAGACCAACGAACGAACGTTGTTATGTTTATTTGGTTGCATACACTACGCCCCGCCACACCACATCAATTACTGTCACAACACGACGGTCTAAGAACACACAAAATGGACGACACACCCTGTATTAATCGAGTTTTATTGATTTTTATTATTGGGGGTACTTACATTATTTCCAGACTACTATCACTTGTTTTGGTGGCATGTTCGGGATCGGAGGATCCGGAACCGGAACACATGTCCATTAATTCTTCGGATTTCGGGTCGGGATCGGCTTCGGCTTCGTCCTGAACGCTTGATAGTTGCCAGGCGGGTATTGACTGAGGCACCACTGGACTATTTGACACGGAAGGAAATTGTTTCCTGGGAAAATTGAGGTTATAGTCAAAAACTGTCAAATTACGGTTAAAATTGCGTAAATTTGAGGTTATATGTCAAAATACTGTCAAATTACCGTCAAAATTGTGTAAATCTGGGGTTATATGTCAAAAAACTGTCAAATTACCGTTAAAAACGCGTAAATTTGAGGTTATATGTCAAAATACTGCCAAATTACCGCCGAAATTGTGTAAATTTGAAGTTATATGTCAAAATACTGTCAAATTAACTTCAAAATTGCATATTTTTCACATCAACTGTCAAAATAACCTCAAAAATAACTAATATTTGAGTTTAACTGTAAAAATAACCACGAAAAACGCGAATATTTGAGGTTATTTGTCAAAATACTGCCAAATTACCGTCAAAATTGTGTAAATTTGAAGTTATATGTCAAAATACTGTCAAATTACCGTCAAAATTGCTTATTTTTGACGTCAACTATCAAAATAACCTCAAAACAGCTAATATTTGAGTTTAACTGTCAAAAAACGCGAATATTTGAGGTTGTTTGTTAAATTAACCTCAAAATATCACTTACCTTGATAAAAGAAGACCTTTGACAGTCGCAATATCACCCTGCAGGACTTCCAGCTGCCGCTGAACGTGACTCTCCCCTGATTGACTAATGCGGTCCACTTCGACCTTGACAGACTGCAAACTGTCTTTGAGCTCTGTGACTGACTCGCTTACTGATTTACTCAGGTCCTCTATTGAATCCTCCACAGATTTCTTGCGTATACCAAAGAGGAATGGTTTAATGTATTTCTAAATCAAAACAATCGATTAAACACATTGTTTCTGTAAATTTACACCGACTTACTTCGTAAAATTTATAAATTGCATATGCGACAATACTAAACACCGCCGCGTTGTGTACAATGTCACGTATTCTGTCAAAAAGGGTAATTTGCTGTTGTGCATGTTGCCTATAACCTACAGGCACAAGCTGTGGTGGTAACGGGGGCGGCGTGCGTTGCACTTCCTCGTGCTGAGCGTACGCGCCGCTTCTTTCACAGGCGATTTGCACCTCCTCATTGGTGAGCCCTTTGCGCTGCAGGAATTTCTGCTTTTGTGCGAGCGGCGTGCGCACAACGTTCGCATTCGAAAGGAACTTGACGGCAGTTTGAATCTGAAAACAATTGCCGATCACGCAACCACCATGTTTTTTTTGTTGTTGTTGTAACAAACAAGTTTTGTTTTGCTTACGATATCTTCGCGTGGCGCCGGATTCTGGTTGAAGGTGCGATCCAGATCATCGACGGTGGTCGTCATCCTTGTTGTGAGTCTTATATAATTTAGTTTTGCATTGAACAAGCACGCGAAACGTACGCACAATTGCTAAATGAGCCGCACAAACGCACCGGACGAACCTAACTACAAAATGTCTATGAGTATACGATCATCTGTTTTTACACTGCGGTGCATTGACGGTAGGCAACCACAATGACAATGATTTTGAGTTTTTCGAATTATCAGCGATTATAAACACGTTTTGGCTTGAAATACAAATGGTAAGTGTCGAAACTTATGAGGTTTAGCTTTAATTACATTTGGATAACCAATGAATTAATATTTTTTGTACACAAAGCAAAGTTCAAGCAGGAATGTTCAAAGTCCAAACACACAAAGCAAAAAATGATAAATTATTACTAATGAACTAATCCCACAGCCCAATTAATTTGAAATAGAACCATAATTAAATTCTACAACTTATAGATTACTTTTTATCAATGAAATGTATTTTACAAGTTTTATTGCAATAAAATAAAATAAATCGTGCTTGATTTATAGGCAACCACATGCACAGCAATGAAATAAACACATGTGATGTTTTTGTCAATAAAATAACCTTGTTATTCTTAAAAACTAAATAAATACCTTATAAACAATGGAAAATGAACTCGGAGAATCTGAACTAGGTACTTTAGAGTACTGGGATGATCGTTATAAAGAAGAAATCCAAAATTTCCGCGCACATGGCGATGTAGGCGAAGTTTGGTTTGGTGAAGACATTGTCGAGCGAATAATCAGATGGATGAACAAAAATGTAGACAATAAAGACTCAAAATTGTTGATTTGGGCTGTGGTAATGGTATGCTTTCAATAGAACTCTCCAAGGAAGGCTACACAAACATTATTGGTATAATAACCATAAAAATCATTAATTTACAACAAAAAATCTAATTTTTAACTGTTTTTAGGTGTGGATTATTCAGAAGATGCTATAAACTTGGCAAAAGAAGTTGCTACAGCCCAGGAAACAACTGTGACCTTTGCGAAAGCAGATATTCTATCAAATGATAATGATTTACTGAAAAATGTTGATATTTTGTTAGATAAAGGCACTTATGATGCAATTAGTTTAAGTACTGATTCACACATCAACAGACAAATTTATATTGACAATGTTTATAAGTTTATGAAAGAGAATGCAAGATTAGTGCTAACTTCATGTAATTGGACTAAAGAAGAACTTTGCGAACACTTTGACAAAAGTTTTGCATGTGTGGAAGTAATTCCAACGCCTCAGTTTAAGTTTGGGGTAAAGTAGGTAATCTTGTTTCATCTGTAGTGTTTAAAAAGAAAGAATAATAAAGAAATAAACAAGAATATTAACTGTTTTTGTGTAATACCCTTGAATAACCTTGAATTCATTTGAGATATGCTTAAATAACGTAGGCAACCAGTTATACACAAATTTTTAAATATTTCCGAACAAAAAATCGTTATTTTGTACCAGGAGGTATCAGGACGTACCACTTCTGTGAAAATCAATGATAATACCATCCAGAACCTTCCCCACAATCATTTTATGTTCTAAGTTTACTCCTACTAACAGTATCTTCCAATTATCATTAAAAAATGGGTTTAAAAAACTGTAAACCCTGCAAATCAAAGAAAAAATCAAATTTTACTGGTGGATCCATCTTGGATCGGGTCATCAGTCAATCCTCAAATGAAGACCAATGTCTCCTTTACAAACTGGCAAACTACAAAAAAGGTGGCGAGTTAATAGAAGCTTATAACTTGGGAGGACAAATCGAAGTGGAGAAACTAATCAAGGAACAGTTTGGTCAGTTCATGTACAACGATGGTAAAGGCCAAATCATCAACAGATCCGAGTATCTACGCTGGAAGTTCCGAGATTGTGAGCAAGTGGTCCTCCCGATTGAAGCGAGTCTCTCCCCTCATGACCCTCTTGCAAAATGGGAGGACCACGAAGCATGTTGGCAGATGCAATATCGCGGGTCCCTGGGTGAAACCCTAATCCATGTCCTCATTATCTGCGATACCAAGATCCACACGAGAATAGCCCGGACCTTGATTAGATGTTTTGCAAAACTGGCCCTGGATGTGGTTGAAGGTGAAGAATATTTAGGAGCAGGGGCCTTGCACCTTGCAATTGCTTACAGTAACAATGAACTGGTCCAGGACCTCATTGAAGCAGGAGCTAACGTCAACCAGAGAGCCACAGGTAATCAATATTACCTAAGACCTATGACCTTTTAACCTTGGGCCTAAATTTATCTAAAAAAATGTCTCCCCAGGTAGTTTTTCCTTCCCGGGACCAACAACGTGACAAACCCGCGAAACTCACTGATTACGAAGGGTTGGCATACCTGGGAGAATATCCCCTGGCATGGGCCGCGTGCTGCGCTAATGAAAGTGTCTATAATCTTTTACTGGACTTTGATGCCCATCCTGACCTTCAGGACAGTTTTGGTAACATGATTCTACACATGGTTGTCGTCTGCGATAAACTGGTAAATAATTAAACCTATAAAACCTCTGAAACATCAAAGACTTTGAGAATTTAAAATTATTTCAAAGGACATGTTTGGTTATGCATTGCGACATCCAAAGTTGCCCGCCCGTAACGGAATAGTAAACACTGCTGGTTTGACCCCGTTAACTTTGGCGTGTAAACTTGGTCGTGCGGAAGTTTTCAACGAGATGTTGGAGTTGTCTGCGAGAGAATTCTGGAGATACAGTAACATAACCTGTTCTGGTTACCCTTTGAATGCTTTAGATACGTTGTTACCAGATGGCAGGACTAGTAAATTATAATATATGCAACTTTTAATACGTTTAAACATTTAAAAATTGCAGATTGGAATTCTGCGTTGTTTATTATCCTGAATGGAACCAAACAAGAGCATTTAGACATGTTGGATGGTGGTATTATTCAAAGACTACTCGAGGAAAAGTGGAAAACCTTTGCAAGAGTACTAAAAACCCTTTTTTAATAACCTAACCTTAAAAAATGATTGTTTTTAGAATCAATTCTTGAAACGTCTGTTAATTCTCCTCGTACATCTTTTATTTCTCTCGGGAGCTGTGTACCTTCGACCTGATGACCCTGATGAACCCCTATTAAGGTCAACAGATGACCCTGTGGTAATTTGCAGATATGTAGCAGAGATAGGGACTGTTTTAGGGGTTCTAAGCTACTTAATTCTACAACAAGGCGATGAAATCAAAAACCAAGGTCTTTGGACCTTTCTAAAACAACAATGGGCTTCACCTCCAAAGGTCATCTTCCTGGTTGCTAACTTTTTGATCCTTGCTTGTATCTACTACCGGTTAAAAGGAGATAGAACCATGGAGGAAGCACTTTTATTGATTGCAGTCCCTGGGAGTTGGTTCCTACTCATGTTTTTTGCTGGGTAAGGTTATGTTTTACTAACCTAGGTCCCAAAAACTCTAAAGTGCAATTTTAAGGGCTGTTAAGTTGACTGGACCTTTTGTGACAATGATCTACAGCATGATAACTGGTGACATGTTGACTTTCGGAATAATTTACTCAGTTTTCCTATTTGGGTTCTCCCAATGCTTCTATTTCTTGTATAAAGGTTTTCCTGGAGTTAAGAACACCCTGTATAGCAGTTACCCAACAACTTGGATGGCCCTCTTTCAAATAACCCTTGGAAATTATGATGTAAGTACTTTTTTCATAACTCCCAAAAATAAAACACAAATTGTGGTTATGTTAGTATTCAGAACTGTCAAATACTTCTTACCCTGCAATGGCGAAAGCAGTATTTGCCCTTTTTATGGTCTTTGTCCCCATTTTACTCCTAAACATGTTGATCGCCATGATGGGCAACACCTACGCGCATGTCATTGAACAAAGCGAAAAAGAATGGATGAAGCAATGGGCAAAAATCGTCATAAGTCTAGAAAGGGCCATTCCCCAAGCAGATGCCCATCACTACCTTCAAGAATACAGCATAGGTCTTGGTCCCAGTGATGATCCCAAATATGAACAACGTGGAGTGATGGTTATCAAAAGTAAGAGTAAAACTAGAGCAAAACAACGTAAAGGTGCTGTACTCAACTGGAGAAAAGTGTGCAAGGTGACCTTGACAGCAATGAAACGTAAAAAGATGACCGGGGAGGAGATGAGGTGTCTTATGTGGGGCAGGGAGAGTATTAACACTCCTGTGAAGAAAAACACTAGACCCAAAGGTGGAGATCCTTTGTTGGACCCAATGGGACCAAGTATTATGGGAGGGTTTGAAGGGGCCCTTAGTGCTACCCTAGAGGTTATTAGTTTTGCACATGATGTTAATGTTGTTGGGAATGGACCACCACCTGCACCAACACCAACACCTGGTCCTGGAGTAGTACCTAATTTACTTGCAGTACCTGGAATAGGTCCTACTAATGCCACAACACCTAAAGGTGATACTCCTAAGACCCTTTTATCACCTACACCTCTAACTGACATAGCAATGTTGGATACCTTAACCCAACTAGCCCCAGTTGCTTCTCCCCAGTTAGTAACCCAAATGACCATGATCCCACAAGTCATACAAAGTCCCCAACCTCAAATCCCAACAATTTCCGCAAGTATTCAATCAGAAGACCCTCTTAGGGACCTTATCTTCATGTCTATGACAACTTCCGAGGAAAAGTACCTGCTTTCCCAACTTGCTAAACAAGCAGCAACCCCATCTGCAGATACCAACATGATTCCAACACCTGGTCAAACCCAAACTTCATCATCCGCGAAATCCCTAGCTGGGATCTTCGCAGGTACCGAATCCTTCGTCAAAAAAGTCGAAACAACCGTAAAGAAAAAATACACCGCCTTAGACCCATCAGACAGTGATGGTCCTGGTGAAGTCCCACTCCTCGGAAGGGTCTCACGTATAAAACGAGCTAAAAGTGCAACACAACGTAAATCAGCTGGTAAAATACGTCCCACAACATCAGACAAGAAAAAACTCCTCACAAGTGACTCAAGTTCAGTTGACACTGTGGTAAACATCAGAGTAGAACCCAAAAAGACAGGTTATGACAACAAAGCTATCGAATTAGACGACGCAGACCTCCGAATGAAATATTTAAAGACAAACATCAAAGATTATGAGAATATCCGTCCTATTAACCTAGACGCGGCTGTCAAAGAAGGACCAAGCCCAAAAGGAGATATCAAAACTGATGTGGTCAAGGTCGAAGGTTCCGGGGCAGGTGTTGACAACCAAGCAGTACCCAAACGTGCAAAAAGACCCAAAACAGCTAAAAATAACAGGTAAACATCACAAAAATCTCAAAAACATAGTTTAACCTTAAAATTTTAGAGTTTCACCAGCAGCGCCACCTGGAACCCGCGGCTGTCAATCAGCTGTCAAACAAACAAGCCCAGGAAGCACAGAAAGTGACCCAGATCCTCTCGAACCATGGAGTACAAAAAACATTGCAAGTATGAATACAATACTTGCATGGGAAACAGATGATAACCTATAAAATCATTTCCCAAACATACAATGTGTCCGTAGAATTAATATTTAAACTTTAATCAATAACAACCGTATTGGTTTAGTTACGAAATTAATCTATGCTTGTCCAACATTAAATTTCTAATTACACGGGTTAATTATAGTCCATAGTTGAATATTTCGTCGTAGGGGGCGTGGCTAGTAACATTAAACTAGATTTAAATTATTCCGCGCGACATTTACACCGAAATCAAACGCTAAAATTATCTATTGTGTCATCGGCGAATAATTACAACGTTATAATTTGTAATATTAACATTCAGATGACATCATGTTATGCAAATGCAACACGTGCGCGTGTAACGGGTTGCCTATGATTGCTTTATCGTGTATACGCGATGAAAAACATGATGTTTTCTGCGATTTTTATCTTGTTTGCATCGCGAGTTGTTGTTGCGTCGCCTGTCGGTGTGAAATGTGTGTATTTGCTCGGACGCAATGCGAATGTTATTAACACGAAGCGTTGCTAGTTGTTTCTTGATCAGAATCGAGTGCGCGAATGTTGCGAGTGCGCGTGTCAAGTGAAAAAGTCAACGCTATTCAATTGACTAGTTAATAGTTTTAATAGAAATCAGTTTATATAAATTTAAAGCCGCCATTTTGTTATTGGATATTTTAAAGTTAATTTGTAAGTAATTTTATTGTTGATAATAATTAATGATGTAATATTTCCGCTTTTGAATTTGAATTGTAATTTTGCATATGATATTTGTGAGTGTCAAGGTGAACGACGTGAATTTAAATTAATTAATAAATTAGCATATTTGATGCGTGCGGCTGCGTTTTGCGCTAGACTTTCATCCATATTCGTTGCAATTTGTAATTTATAAGCCTGCAGTGTAATAAATCCGCAACCAAACATACACCGCGCAAAACAACACATTATTTCGTTTATTTGTGTTCATTTGGTTGCCTATATTAAGTTAATAACCCAGAAAATCATTGTTTACATATTCTGATTGAAAAAACATGTCAATCTGCGCATGATTTGTGATTTGTTATTAAATTTTTCTCTGTGCTCATTTTTTTCGATTTAAAATTGTTCGCTCGTTTATTATTTCGACGTCTGGTGACGACCTGGTGACTTAGTTACATTTTCTCGGCCATCATTTTCGCATTTCCAAGCGTGTGCGCGCGACACACTCATAAATCGCCGATTTTCATCGACGCACTATTTTATATTTCACTCGGCGAGTGAGTTTAAAATTAAAATTTAAAAGCATATTTCTTAATCTCACACCACGCCCACATCTGTCATTCTGTGTGTGTGACATTTACATAACCTATAATCAGATATACTCGTAATGTGCGTCAGCGACAGACAATCAACCGATAATGCAAACATCTGTTGCGGGGTAATTAAGCGATTACCATAATTAATACGATTAACATGATAATCATTATCATTGCGTGTTTTCACACATACACATATATAGGCAACCAATAATACACATCACATGTAATACAAATTGCTGCAGCTTTGCTCCGAGTGTAATAAATATCAATATATTTTTATACATTTTATGATTTATTTACGTTTTTTAACGCCGAGGAAACAAAAAAAACAAACAAACACGATGAGCGGTTTATAAACGCGGCTAATTAGCACACAATCAGCGACAAAACGTTAAAAATAGTAACAAATACCAGCAGAATATCCACGCAATTATTATCAAAGCATAAAAATATATTATGCAAACATGTAATTAACTTCGGCTTTTTTTTTGCAATGTATGCAACCCAATACACGTTGATTTCTATTTATTAGCGTTTGTTTGCAACGTGTATTGACCCACACAGCGGCCAGTCAGTCGTGGAGTCAATATTGACATTATTATTAGCCGGACAATATTTGACATATCAAATAGTCTTATTTGTACATCGTCCGCGCCAAATTCCAGTGGCGTAGCGTCTAATACATTCAAAATGTATAAAAACATTGAAAGAGTAAATTAAAATGTCATATAAACAGCGCCATCTATGTTTTTATTCACGTAACTTGATGAAAACTCTTTAAAAACGATTTTTTTCTCCATTTAATGTATAAAAGTGTTGAAAGACGTCACCCGCCACTGGATTTCTTTCCCTCACATCGTTTTTCATCGTTACTGATCCGATTTGGCTGTTTTTTCTTTTTTTTTGGCCCTACCCATCCACTGATGTATTGTTTGCGCGATTTTCTTTTGTTTCTCTTTATTCATATTATAGATTATCTAAAAGCAGAACCAAAACCAAACCGAGACTATTGTTTAGTATAATATCATACAATGTGTCCGAAGCAATTATTTTCTTTTAATTGTTTACTAGCTTTAACCCGCGGCTTCGCTCGCGAATATCTAATTCAGCTTAAATTACAAAAAAACAATAGAGGGCGTTAGGGTAACATATCAGGAATACTTGGATTAATTTCTGAGCAGCTATTAAAATGGCGGAAAAAACCATCAAACTTGATTTTTAGTTTAAAAATTGTAAATTTCTAAATATTTCTTCCAATTTCTACAATTTTTGTTTAAGAATATTTCTAAATATTATAAGCTGTAAATTGAGTTGCATAACTGAAAATTACTTAGACTACTGGCTTTAACCCGCAGCTTCTCTCGCGAATATCTAAAATAATGAAGTTGCTTCCATTACGCGTCTGTAGTCGCAGAAGAAGTAACAATGAAATAGAATGGCGGGAAGTTTAAAAAGTGACATTTAGTCTATGGGAAATTATAGTGTGATCTCCATGAGTAGCCGATGGGGTGGATTTGATGTTGGCATGGCTATCGGTAATACAGTGTGATAATACAGTGTGATGGTACTATAGTACTTAGGTTTGACTTCATTGCTGGAATGCTAGATATGGCGTTAAAGTAGTCAATAGCGCGGTGCAGAGTATTATTAGCTAAACGCTATTTCTTTTATTTTATTTCAAAATAATTTTTTTTTATTAAATAAAAAGTAGCCTATAACCATTCAGGGGACCACTAAGAATATGTGTACAAATTATCATGATGATCCAGTTAAAAGTAGTTTTGCGTGAAAGTCATAACAAACATCAGGACTTTCGCATTTTATAATATTAGTAGGGATTAAATAATGAATATTTTGGTGACTTAAGCATGGAACTGCTTTAGCTTTCATTGGTTTTGCAGGTAATTATGTCTCTGTGTGTTTATGTGGCTTGCGTGTGAAAATTTACGGTCGAGTGCAGCAGATGCACTAATTTTATTTATACTCACGCCGCCGCTCTGCCGCCACCGCACGACATTCGGTGCTGCCTTCCATGGCAGCTCTGAATTAAAATTTCGTGCACTGCTAAATTGACTTTAAACTTTAAGGTAAACAACGTATTTGGAGTTTACTTACAGGTAGGCTAAGAAATTCTACGGCAGTTGACAGGTTGACGATTGACATTTGTCATGCAACTCATAATGCATGCACATAAAACACAAAACACATACAAAAATATAAAACAAATACATTTAAATATAAAAAAGCCATATTTATTTTGTAGATATTGCATCAATCAAAATAGTTATAAATAAATAAAAAATAAATATCATACGTTTCATCAAACGCACGAATTAAAATGATAAATAACAAAATGAAAAAATATCAAATAAAACTGTTTTTTTTTTCAAAGCGCCATTTGTGATTAACTAGTTTTGATTTGAATATTTTTATACAATAAACATACACAATATTTTAATTGGTTCATGGGTTGTCGAAGATGGTACCGCCAGTTAACGGACGTCATCATAGGCGGGGCGGGCTCTGCCGTGCCGACACTGCGGCAGCCGTGTTTCTACCGCTTTGCCACCGCCACCGCCGCCGCCTCCGTCAGAGTAGGCGCCCGGCTGCCGCGCCTCGCGTTACGAGCCGTCAAGCGTTCCAGTACCTGCATCACCGGTAAAATGCGGCAGGGACAACGTATTGTGCGAAAGCGCGCGCTAAAATGTTCGAAAGCCTAAAAGTCGTAAACGCAAACAATTTTCATCGGCTAAATTTATCGTGAACAACAAACAACGTCACCAGTATTCGCGGAAAATATGGCATGTAGGTTTAAAATATTTTAAATCACTTTCTACAATAATTAGTTTTATTTAAACATTTGATAATGAATTTATTAGTAAAATACTATGAGTATATTAATCTGTCATCTGTTTAAAGAGCACGCGTAAGTTGTTGCTTGTGGTGTATTGCTTGTTATTTTGATGTATACGCCGCTCAAGTCCTTCGGCGTTTGAGGGGTCTGGCAAACGGCTAAGCACATCCCCTGCGTCTTGGGGTTGTATTGTGTTACTTTAACACTACGCAGTGCTTTTGAGCGAAGAGCGGCGTAAACAGTGGCCACAGGTGGTTTCGATTTTTTCAGTTTTCTTCGTTTCTTTTCGTCGCGTTCTTGTATTACGTCGCTTCGCTTCTTATTTTACGCTTTAGGAAACCGCACGTAATACTGTTTTGGGTGTGGCTATCTAACGTTTCAGAGTTTTACTCAATCGGACATCCTGTTTAAATTTTATGTCAAACTAGTAACGCCATACATGTTGCGATACTTTGAAGTTACATAAAAATGTTTTAGAATTAAGTAAAAAAGGTAAAAGTATAATGGGTATAGAGAAAACGCGTTGAAATGAGGTAAAATTAGTAGAGTATAAATATAACACAAAACGAAGGTTAATTTGACACAAAGTAAGCGTCATCTCTACTAATATTATAAATGCAGATATCCCTGATGTTTGTTACGCAAAAACTACTTAACCGATATCATGAAAATTTGTACACATATTCTTAGTGGTCCCCGAATGGTTATAGGCTACTTTTTATTTAATAAAAATAGTATTTTTAAATAAAAGGCAAAGAAATTGATTAATATGCACTCTGCATCTAGCTGTTGACTACTTCAACGCCATCTAGCATTCCAGCAAACTGAGCTCAAACCGCAGTACTATAATTGCCATCACGCTGTATTATCGCACTGTATTACCGGCAACCGTCAACATCAAATAAACACAACATGCGGCCGCCAGTAAAACTTTCGCCATTCCATTGTGCTATTTCTGTGACTACAGGCGCTTCATTATTGCGAGCAGCAAAAAGGGTTAAAGCAGTCTATAATAAAATCTTGAAACTTATAGAAACAAATGAAAATTTAAAAGCTTTGTAAAAAATATAGCACCAGAAGTAAATTGCAAGCACAAACGATAAAATTTAAGTTGTAATATAATACATACAACTAGCGCCTATATTTAAAACACACAACTTGTTAAAAAACTACCAAAAATAAGCCAAAACCTCAAAAATCAATATTTCAATAAATTACGACTAAAACATTTAAAAGCAATGTAAAATGACAAAATAACACAAAAAATAACACAAAACACAGTTGTATTAATAGCGATAGTAATGCCATCTAAGTAAAAATACACGCAACTTTATTTGAAAACTGCAAAAATAAACCAAAAATAAAAAATAAAACACACTACTAAATCACAACCGTGCGTTGGAAGATGTGATGTGGTGGAAATGACAAAAATGACGCAGCACATAGCCAGGAAATGGCGGTGGGAAGTAAGGAAGCCACGTCCACATAAAAATACAATGCAATGCGCGAGCGAGCACAATGGCGCGCAAAACGCAAAATAAAATCGCAAAGAAAACGTCGTTTTACAGCATTTTGTATTTCGCCGTCGTTTGAGACGGAGGAGATCGTGATACCACATTTGCAAACAGAGGGTAAATCCTCCCATCACTGTATACAACCAACTAACAAACTCGCATAGGCTGCGAGAACGCGGGCAAATACACACACACCAAACACA